TGTTCACTGTCACGTTTGTCTGACACACACACACACACACACACACACACACACACACACACACACACACACACACACACACACACACACACACACACACACACACACACACACACACACACTTCAAGTTAAGACAGAAACACTGAGTGATGTGTTGAGACACGAGCCATAAAGACACACACAGACATATCTCAATAAAATACAAAGTACACACACATTTGTGATGATAATGCGTTTGGACAGGGCTCAGACTGCAGAAGCTGCTAGAAACAAGCTGATCACCACACTGCTACAGTAGGAAAACACTGCAGCTACATGGAGAAGCAGCTAATCAGCGCTTGTGTTATTTGGTGTTACAATAACTTCCCTGTCTGACTGATTTACATTCTGCTTACTCATTCTGCAACACTTGGTGTATTTACATCTTATACAGGAAGTGAATGTATCTCTCCAGATAAAATGTTGCAGAAGGCGACATGTTTTCTGAGGGATTGTTTCCTGGAGGAGACTTCCTCCCTCCTCATGTTTCTTTATTGTTGTCTTTGTCGGCTGACTAGCAGGAAACCGCACAACATGTTGCAGCACTCGTGAACATGCTCAACCCAAACAATGAAAACAGAGAGTCGGCAGAGATGGATCTCATACCGAATGTGAAAGAGAAAAGCAAACAGTAGCAGATGCTCAAAGTAGTATTACTATTATTTAAACAATACCATTTTATTATTGAAATACTATTATGAGACCACATTATTCTCAACATATTACCACTTTACCAACGAAATATTCCTATACCGACCACAAGTTGGCTCTCCATTTAATATCTCTGGCTTTGTTTGGATTCTTGCATATCAGTTAATAAGAACTTTGATTTAGATATATTTACAATAGGGCTGCTCAATTAATCGTATTTTAATCGCCATTACGATTATGGCTTGCAACGATTACGAAAACAACGTAATCGAAATAAAACGATTCTTTTATTATTATTATTATTTTTTTGTTTTTCAGTTGAATTATACGGTACTTAAAGTTCAGGGTAAAATATACTTTTTTTTTTCTCCAATAAATGGATGTTTTCAAAGTCAATGAATAAATCGCATTTAATAATCGCAATTACAATTATTGACCAAAATAATCGAGATTATGATTTTTGCCATAATCGAGCAGCCCTATAACCAAACCATCTCTTATGTGTATAATTTTTACATTTTGCACATGACAACAAGTGTTTCTGTCAATGTGCTGAATTTCTTTCAATTTCGATTTGATATTATGAAACGGTTCTGGTAATGGTAAGAAAGTGGAGAGGAAAATACGGAGAACATTCAAAAGAGTTTCTGACTATGTAGTAAAGTCCCTCTAAGAAGGACACAAACAAGAGCTTGTTCAGCTATTGCATTGCATTTAGAATCATACTTTTCCACCAGAGTTGTGTATTTTCCAATTTTATATTCACTTTCTGTTAGAGTTCCCCTCCAGAAAATACTCAGCTTGGAATAATAATTAGTGTGGAAAAGTCCAGTCTCAAAATATCTGCACTGGAGGGTTTTAACTGAAGAGAAACCTTCCTCCTTCAGCAGATACATTTTTAAATTACGAAAAAAGTTATGAATCGTGAAAGAACAATAAGCCAAACATATTTATAAGTGTGAAAAAGAACAAATGTGATTGTTTTTCCAAGTAATTACTTCTTATCATTAACTAAATGTGTGTTATTATGTGACCGCCCCAGCGTACCTTCCCCCTCCTCGATCATGGCCTTGGGCTGGGTAAGAGCAAAACACTGCATGGTCTCGTAGCGCGGCCCTCCTGGCCCCTCCTCCATGGGGCCGTGTGCGTGGCCAAACTTGACCAGCATCCGGCAAGTGAAGGTGTGACTCTTCTGTCGGGCTGCCTCGCTTCCCCACGACACTCCATTTACTATTAAAAAAGAAACACAAACAAAAAATACATTTACACTGGAGAGTAAAAATGGAGCTGGGACTGAAAACTAAATGTAGCTATGAATGAAGGAATGGACTGCCTGTAATCAGACGCCACAACAGCTCACACCCTTTTCCTGCCTGGAATCCACACACACAAAGAAAAAAACAACAAACACACTGCAACATGTATTTTCCCTCTTAAATTGAGAAGCAGAAGCCTCTCCTGCCGTACGGATGCCTGGCTAAATGGACCATGGGATTAATGTAGCCAAGGTGTCGATTTCCAATATCTCTCCCTCTCAGTGCGCTCGGCAGCGGGCAGAGGCCAGGGACACTCAGCCATCTATCCTCATTTAGACCCTGACTTCTCATCACGACACACACACACACACTCATTTAGACGGGGTCACCTTCACAGGGGGGAGAGAGAGAGAAAGGGGAGGAAAACTTCAGAGAGACATCCAACTGTCTTCCAAGGTCTGCGTGAAGCCTTATCAGAGGCCTTGAGCCGGCGGGAGGTTTCTGTCTGGCAGGTGCAGGGAAGATAAAAGAAAAGACCCAGGAGAGCGAGACGTTTTTTTTGGGGGGGGATTGGGAGAGGTGATTTCACAAGGCCTTGGGACAGAGAAAAACACAGTACAGTCACTAGGGCCGACATCTCCCCTCAGACACAATTAGCCAGTGGTGAAAGAAGTACTCAGATGTTTTACTTGAGTAAAAGTACAAATACTACTGGGTAAAAATACTCAGAAATTTCACTTCATTATAAGTACAAAAGACTTGCCATAAAAATGTAATTAAAGTACCAAAAGTAAGAGTACTTATTGTGCGTGATGTCCCATTTTAGAATCATACGAATATATCAAATCACACATTTTTTAAATATGCATTCATCACTGCTGGAAAAGGTGGAGATAATTGTTATTACTTTATATACTGGTGCTAGATATTTTAACCTATAATTAGATATCATAGTTTATGTTGTAGTTTATTTATATTTAGTTTTAGCTAATAATCTGAATCTGTAAAGTAACTACTTTATTTTTTCAGACAAATATAGTGAGTACAATATTGGCTTAAACAATCGTAGTGGAGTAGAAGTAAAAAGTAGCATCAGGTGGAAATACTTCATTAAAGTACTAGTAATCCTCAAATCGTACTTGAGTACAGTACTAAAGTCTATTACACCACTGCAATTAGCCAACAGCGAGGCAAGACAGGCGGGTCAAAAAACAGACCGGCCGACAACAAAAACTCACTCCATGTTGTGTGCTCGAGTGTGTGTCTGTTTTTGTGAGTGATTGTGTGTGTATTTAGCTGTAGCTTGCGTGGTCAACGGTCATCCCGCAGGAATGTGCAGCGAGAGCGTATTTCATTCATGGGCCCAAAAGATAATGAAGGGGGCAGAGCAGCAGAGCGAGACACAATGGGGGGGGGGGGGAGAGCAGACAGGGAAGCAGGTTGAGAAACAGACAACCACAATGTTTGGCTGCCACACCGAGAACGAGTGAAGCTGAGAACGATTTGAGAGACACGAGGGACGCTCAGGGAGATAAGACGAGACTTAAAAAATAAAGAGAGTGAATTAATAAAGGAGCGTGCAAAGTGAAATAAGTGAGAGAACGTGTCAATGACATGTCGGAGCCGCCACTGCTAAGGAACATTACTGCAGAGTTAATAGAGGCGGGTTCAGTCGAGCACACGCATCTATAATTAATCAGCTTTATAAATAGTGCTCTGTGCACACACACACACACACACACACACACACACACACACACACACACACACACACACACACAGCACACACCACACCACCACACCACACACACACCACACCAGCACACACACACACACACACACACAACACCACACACACAACACACACACCACCACACACACACACACACACACACGCTTTTGCCTGACATAGGCATGTTAAATATCACATTAATACTCAGGCACATGCAAACAACGAATTGAATTAAGTAGCCGGGAAGTGTGGAGGTGCATTATTCAGCAGTAAAGTAGTTTCCAGATGGCTGCCATGGGATTCTGAATAGAGCTCGGCCTGTTTTACACTGTCTGGACCACTGAGTGTGACTGACAGCTGTCGCTACCGCTTTGCCCTGCTTAGGGGCCACCGGTGGGCCGGGTGCTCCTGTGCACATGTGTGGTTTTGTTAGTGTGTGTGTCCTCTTTTCCGAAAAGCCTCTCATGAACATGAACAGGCTTCCCAGGAGCTCCTCATTTATAACCAGAGAAAGGGGTTAAGAAACGAGTGAATAAAATAACTGAGTGAGTCTACCGCCTGACGTGCGCGAGTTGTTGCAAACCTCCTCAAGGTTGTTTTATAACCTCGGCCCTGTGGAAGTTGTCAAGCTGAGTTTACTTCTGAGCAGATGTGCAGCAGCCTCCCTGTGAGTTGTGTAGAATGTTTGTGTGTGTGTGTGTGGTGTGTGTGTGTTTCTCACTGTTGGTCTGAGGCAGGTTCTTGTGGAACTCTTACCCGGTCGTGCCTCATGAGAATATTGTAGACGCTGGTGTTGATGCAGCCTCGCTCCTGCTTGTACTGCCAGGACTGCGTCACGTTGTACCGACACAACACACCACGCTGCCCTTCCCCGGTATTCACCAAAAACAGGAAGCCGTCAAGCCTGAGAGGCAACAGCGACAGGAAGTCACGACCAAACCTCGAAGAAAAATAATTCCTGATCAGACGGAGTGGCAGTGCAGCACTTCACTCTGCAAAGCAGGAGCGGCCCCAACGTGCGTCCTTGTCGACTGACCCCCTGACCCACCGTCGAGGACACCCGGGGGTTTTCCCCCAGAAAAAAAAAAAAAAAACTTCTGGACGTCGTCGTCGTTGGATGAAGCTTTTTCCTGCAGGAGGGGGGAAAGAGGCAGATTGCATTAAAAAAGACATTTCAAATGCGCTAGCTGCCTACAAAGAAGAGGAACAAAAGCGAGGCAAAGGAGAAAACAAAGGAAAGCACCGATACCCTGGAACTGGAGGACACAACTGTTATTCAGGCTTCTACAGGCCTGCACGCAGCAGGGGGCAGGCGTTTGCTCAATCTTTCAATTGAAACATTTTTTCGCCCTCTAATTTAAAAATACAGGTGAGGAAGGAGACGGAGCCGAAGGCAGGTTTGCTCTGATGAAAAGGCCAGCCCCATCAAGGAGGAGTAGAGGGCTGGGTCATGTGGAGCCCAGGTAGGCAGCCGTCGCTCATTGCCTTTATATTCCAGTGTCCAGACTCTGCAGGGATTGATGTCTGGTAGGCTGGGGAGCTGAGGAGAGAGGAGCGGGCGGGAGAGAGGCTACAGAGGCTCCGGAAGATGCTGTAATGGTGCAGGGGCCCCCCAGGAGGCAGGCCTGAATTAATGGAGGGGCTGAGAGAGAGAGAAAGGAAGATCAGACAGATACAAGACGAGGCGAGACAGGAAGGACCCAGAGGGGAGGTGGAGCGGAGACGATGCCTGAGAGAAATGCCTGGGCTTGGGTATTAAATGCAGGGATTCCGGTCAGGAAGAGCGGCCGGGGGCCTGCTCGCGGCCTACAGGAATCATTCCTAATCTGATAGCTCCCAAAGAGGGCACGATACCCAAGCAACAAAGAAGAAAAAAGCCCGCCATCTGCTGGCCTCAATCCCAAGGCATCTGTGAAGTTAGGTAGAGAATGGCGGAAAGAAAGAGGGAGAGGAAGGAACACCAGAACCAGAAGAGGAGGCTGGCCCTCCATCAAGTCCCCTCATTCCTTAAGATGCTGGGAGCAAAATCTAAAAGATGCTGGCAATACAGATGAGAGTGGGGGAGAAAGATAAGCGGGAAAGGAGAAGAGGAAGAAGACGCCTCCGAGCAGAGTTTTACGTAAAAATCCAAGTGAGGAATTTATTGAAGGAAGAAAAGAGCAACAGATGAAGGTTTGTAGAAAGAGGCAACTGAAAGTGAGACAGGAAAAGCAGGTAGAAGGAGAGAGAGGGAGAGACGAGTGTAAACCTGTGTCATTTCTGTCTTCACTTCCTGTAACTATGGCCAACGTGTGCAGGGCCGAGCAGCCAGTCAGGGCGCAGCTGTAGCCCTCCCTTCCACCCTTCCTGTTCCGAGGGCTGGGCAGCGGCTGACGGGCCGAGCAGGGCAGGCACGAGAAGCAGAATTTCAGCCCCGCTGATCTTGTGAATTCACCACCAGGGCTGAATTTAAGAAGCAACAATATGCTTCCGTTCAGCGATGCAAAGACTCTGCAGCTGGAGCGTTTTCAACTTTGGTTTGGGCAGTGGAATATGACTGGGCTGGATAATGGAGACAGAAGTATGACACAGCAGTGTGAAACCCCAACGGCCGGCTGTACACAGAAGCTAACAATGTTGGCAGTTCAGCAGAATGGATGGGCCCATGTGAATTTACCTGGGCAAACGTCCAATTAACAGCGCGCCTGAGGGCGAGGGCAGGCACAGGCCCAAGCCTGTGCATGCTCAAATACACAGCGCCGCACACCC